TCCATCTATTGAACTGAGACCTAGAAGCTAGTTTATTTTTGAGTAAACTGTCTAAAACCATGCTCAGTGATGAATATACTATGAAAAAACTTCTCACAAGCTGTAGGGTTTGATGTCTTTCACGCTTATCTCTGAGCATCTATCCCTCCCAAAACTTCCTGTTTCCCCAAAACACGTCATCCCAGTAGTATGAAAGGGTTAGATATAAACCTCCAATATTTGAAAGCTATTTGAGTTTGCCTTCCAACAAACATATAACGAAACACATGCGCCTCTTTTACACGAGCCTCTAATGCTGCCTGTTAGTGGAATATTTTCCATGAAATCTGAAGCAAGTTTTGTTGGGAGAGGCATCATATAGCCTAGTTGAAACAACTGGGAAAAGCACACAAGCTTGCAAGTTCCAAATCCTTTCAGCAAGCCTGCCAAAACAATCAGTGAAATGGATGATACTTAGTTTGCCATAATTAGGCTTCAGAGGTAACAATTAAGTGATCAGAACATTCACACCCACACTAACCAAAAAAGCATGCATTATATGAATTCATTTTCTCTGAACTTGCTTGTCAGCAAATCATTACTGAGCAGGCATGTCAGCACTGCATTTTGGCAGGGATTAATCCTAAACACAATTAACCAAGGTATTTGTCAATTATTTGGAAGTAAATGTAAAGACACCTTCAGTATAGTGCTAGATTACACACATTTGGCCAAAATGATTTACAGTGATGAGGAAAGCACAGGAAGAAGTGGGAACAGGGACTGGCTGGTAGGCTGGGACTAATCAAACCACAACATTTTTGAAAATTACACAGTTAAGCACCTTATGCCATATCTGCACCTATGAGGGACCATGTGCAAGGAACCTCTGATGTAGGAGCTTGCAGTTATGATGGACAAGCAATTTGAAAAGAGGTATCAGAGCAATGGAAACGAAGGCAGTCTGTATTTCTGTAAACAGAACAGTATTAATAGAAGCAATGTGATTTTGTAATTGGAAGATGGCAAACGTTAAAAGACTATAAACAAACCCAGGGCCCAATGCTTACAGCTACACCGTAGAACTAGAGTACAGAAAATCCACATAAATTAAGGGCTAAAGAAATGCTTATATAAAAAAATCTGCAGATAAATAAGACTTACTTTAAGCACAGAAAAATGCTAATAATGAACAACTGAAAGCTAAAGCTAGAGAAATCCATACTGAAATGAAGATATAACTATATAACAGTAAAATTACCTGAACAAACCATCAAGAACAGAAGGAATCTCAATGTTTCTGATCATAGAATCATAGGATGGTTTGGGTTGGAAGGGCCCTTAAAGATCATCTAGTTCCACCCCCCCTGCCATGGGCAGGGACACCTTCCACTAGACCAGGTTGCTCAAAGCCTCATCCAGCCTGGCCTTGAACACTTCAGGGATGGGGTATCCACAACATATATGATCAACATACTGTGTAACAGGATGCTAAAAGCTAAAGTGCATCACTGGTACAAGTCAAACAAGACAAGTCATGAGAATCAGCATTTTTCACTGACTTTTACCTGTAACGGTCTGAAATAAACACATTCTACAAAATGATACAGTGATGTCTCCTATCCCTAAGTTTCATGAAACAATATAAAAAGCTACTCAAGCAACACGCTATATTCCAACCTGTCTGGAAAGAGAGAACCACCAGGCCCAACCAAACTTAATCAAATGTATTAAAAGTTTCACTACAGCTCTGGATGTTTCACAGCAGACACTCAGGTAAGACATGGATAGGTAAAGCCCCATCCAAATACCACTGATACCATCATAAAGCCCCAATACAGAAAGAAGGCTGGGTCATGCAACTATAGGCCTAGCAACTTTGTATTTGAGGTAAAGCTTGAATGACGGGGGTGAGGACAAAAAAGCCTAGAAACTAAGTACTATTCAACATGATTTATAACTAGAAACAAAACAGTTTTTTGCCATGGATTGTTCCAAGGCAAGAAATCTGGATTTACAATGCAAATATGTTTGGTAACTCGGATGCCAGTCAAGAGTTCACCTGCAATATCTAACAGGTGCTATTTCTTTAAAATGGTGTATTTTAAAACGAAATGTAAGTCTTCATATTAAAGGTCAGGGAAAACAAACATAAGAAGAAGGGAAAGTAAGATAGCCAAGGATAAGTATAAAGAAAAATAGATGTATTTCCCCCCAAACCAGGCACAGTTGAAAGAGGCACTCTGTGCAAGAAGAGGACCGGTAGAGCTGCTAGAATTTATCTTGATGACTACTCAAACCTTGCAATTTAAGTTGAGGTTTAAAAACTGGTGGAGTCATCTGTCCTGACAATGTATGCCTAAATCTTCTCAGTTTAATGACTACTCTGTTCAGTTACTACATACTCTATTTTACAACCCATGACTATGAAGAACAGGGCTATCTATTGTTACAGAAACATTCCCTGATGCAAGGATTATTTTCATGTATGACACTATAGGATAGAAGAAGTTAAAAGAAAGTTTATCAATTAAAGTACTTTCATTTAAAAATAAATTTTGAGTTTTGGTTATCTAAATGTGAAGAGGGCATCAGAAAATGTAAGGCAAGCCATTTCTATTTTTGTTCATAAAATACTCAGTTATCTGTAATTCCATACAAAACCCCACTTGGTAGAAACATAAGGTCTGTATTGTAAGTTGCTATATTTTTGTAAGGTAAAGTTGTAAAGTTGCTGTATTTTACTAAGATAGTAATGATAGTTTTAAATGGATTGAGTAGTGATAAGAAACACTGCAAAAGTGCCAGAAAAATAAATCTAAATTGTGCATAATAATGACTTACTAAGAAATTACTTTTCCACACTCCTTACCAAACATAGCACTTTAAAGACACATCAATTCTGTCCTCTCTTTCCTACTTTGCAAAATATATTTTCCTCCTCCAGTACCCTTCTCTGGTTTTACTTCAAGCCACCTTCAGAATAACACACAATTTCAGCAGGTAAGCAGATAGACATGGGGGTAAACTAGCAATTAGGTCATGAAAAAACAAGCACAGTAGAACAGCTATTGCTAATCTGCATGAGATACATTTACTCAATCAGATAGATGGAACTGTTATTATGAACTCGCATTCCACGGATGGTCTCTAAAATTAAGAAGAATGGGGGCAAACAAAATGCACATTTGGTGACTTACAACCTATCTATGCTAATTGTGAAGTGATAATGCAGAACAATGTAACGAAATAAGCAAATTTAACAGATGCTTTGCATGCAAGCCTCAGGAAATTTTTTTTTTGCCTACAGTAGCATAGATGTATCTCTTGTTCTTCTCTTAGGAGTCTTATTTCTTTTAAAATAAGGTAACTGACACATCATTCTGCTGCCCAGCGACAGCACTGCCATAGCTGACCAAATCAGTCCTGTGTCAAATCTCAAACTCTGCTAACTCAGGCGGTGACTCTCAATCCTTCCTCTTGCTCCCTGACAGCAAGCCTACCAAGGGAGGGCAGGATACCAACCAGTGAGACTGGAGAGGACTGGCCCTGGCTCACACGAGTGACACTGGGTCAGTGGCAGACAGGGGGGTCCAACGTGCCATGTCACACCTGGCAGCATGACAGGGGACAGGGTGGTACTCCTACGAGAAGCCCATTCTGAGATCGGGAAGAGTGCCACACTCACACCTGTCACGTGTGAGCACTGGTGCTGGAAGTAACAAAAAAACCTGACCCTCAGGGGACACCTGGCAGAGAGGAAATACTGGAAAGGTCACACGTGGTCTTTCAGTGAAACACAGGAACATGCACACTACCATTTTAACGCCTTTGTACTTTCACTTGCACTTCTGTTTCCAAAAACTAGTCCTTTTAAAACAGCAGTTCATAGATTACAATTAAGAATGTGTGCCAGCTATTTCCAACAATGGCAATACGTTATTATCTGACAATTTAACAAGTTTTTAATAACCCAAGTCAAGACCCTTTTCAAGGGCCCATTTTGTGGTAGGTATCTCAAACATAATGGCAGGCCTCCCTAACAAGCATTAAATGCGCTATTTTGCTAGATTTGGCCTGGGTCCATGATGCTCACTGAGGTGCTGAATGCTATCCATTTTCTCAAAACAGATTCAGCTACAGATAAGTTAGAAATTATCACTGAAACTGGGTCTCTTTGTTGATTTTACAAAATTATGCTATTTGGTAAATATAAATAATGCAGCTGTATTTTAAGTGCCTAAAGGCTTATGCATGCTCAGAGCTGGTAAATTATTATAGGGCACTCAATGCACTTGTCAGAATAAAGAAACTTAAAAGCATGCACTTAAGTACAGTAAATAAAGCAAGCACACAAATACAAACAGACAAAATAAACTTTTAAAATTGTCTTCAAAAGAGGGTAGGTTTAACCACTGTCAAAAGCAAGTAACAAAGAAAAGGAAAAGTCACCTATAATTATTCTGAATATTAAGGGAAATGCTAATTGCATTCTCTTGTCTTTTATGAGTGTAGAGACTTTAAGGCATTTAGTTCAACAATAGCATGAATCCATCCTCGAAGTCTGCATCCATGCTTTTGGAAACCCAAATTGTGTTCAATTTCTACCACAAAAATCAACTCAATAAGCACAAAAGAACTATTAAACATATTATTAAAAAAAAAAAATTACAAAGAGGGAACAAGAATGCTTGAAATGCAAGAGGTCACTTCCGAAAAATGTATGCTTCAAGACCCATATGTCTGAGATTTACCCCTTCTGTAAAGCAGCGTTCCTAGCACAGTACGCTTCTGTCGCTACTATATAACCATCACCTGAGTTTCATGCTTCTGTAGGAACAAACCAGCAGCCTACTGCAAAATTAGTCACAAAATCAAAAGCTTATTTAGTTTTAACAGCTGTACAGAAAAACACGAAGCACATATTTGAGAAGATTATTAAAACGTTTCTTCACATACATCCTGCATAGTAGGTACATCATATTACAACTTTGTTTATTAAGACAGTGGTAAAAACTCACTCTGAAGTGTTTCAAGCTCAGCCTTAGCCAGGGCATCTTCTTTCTCCTTCATTTTTGTTTCTTTATATTCTACATATAATTGTCTGGCATCCTTTAAGAAAATGTTGCAATGGCATTAGCATCCTTATACAAACAAGTTACTGCAATGGCTCTGTTTTAAGTTTTCAACCTCACCAAAAAAAAAAAAAAAAAAGATAACGTGCATTTCCTGGAGTTACAGCAATTTTCAGTATAGAAAGTATTTGTTTAGAATGTAGAATTTTTGTGTAATAAAGGCTCCAACGTAATAATGTGGATATAGATGATGATGTTCATTGACAACCTGAAAAGCAAAATGGTTAGAAAAACATTTCTGATCACTACCCACAGCTTTGTAAGAGGCCGTGCACCCACTCTGCTCACATCAGCAATCTGGAAGTTCAAGGAAGAAAGAGAAGTTTTTAATTAGAGTAGTGTGTGCAGGGACAAAGGCAACTGCTAAGCAGCAGTATTCTTAGAGTGAACTCATTATGGTAACACTAACTGCATGTTCCAAAACCCAACTTGTTTCCCCCCCACCTGCCCCACTTTTTTTTTTTTTTCAAACCAACTTCTACATTGCTATTAAAGCGGTGAAAATATATATACACACACAGACACATATATACAGGGTTTTTTTTCTCCAAGGATTATTTTAGATTCTCATCTGAAATCCATTTGGCAAATTTACACATAGAACTAGAAGTCCTGCCACAAATCTCACAGTAAGTTACACATTTGCAAAATCTGATGAATAGCAATTATAGATCTGCACTCAAAGCCTTCCAGCATGAACAACCAGATTGCTGAAGTAAGAGGTATGGAGAGTTTTCTTACTCTTACCAGATGAAGAGATTTCTATACTCATTCAAAAACAATAATTCTATAATAGAAATGCTGAAATAGACAAATTGTTTATCATTTCCATACATGCAGAACATCTATTGTATTCAAAAATTATCATATTAGATAAACCTAATTTTAGTTCTTTACAGCCAAAAATAATTTTTATTCTTATTATTACATTAACACTCCCATTTTTTACATACAAAAGGAGGTTTAAATTCTGATGTAGAATGTATTGTAAAACATCAGTAAATATTTTTATAATTTCAACTACAATCCTGTAAAATTGAACAAAACCTGGTCTCATTAAAAATTAAATAAAATACCTTGATAAATTTTGAAAATAAAACTGGAGTTAAGCAGTCATTATTGCTGCCTTAATGGTGGAAGTCATCCAAAAACCTTGCTTCCTGCAAAGATACTATGACACAACAGTTGTTCCTTCCATTACACTGGCATCTACCCTTTCAAAGATACTTGAGGGAGATGGGACAACACAAGCGAGAATCAATTCAGCTCCAAGCAGAACTCTGTAATGTTTTGGAGACAACTCACCAATACAAGACAGCACACCACAACCCTGACAGATTCCCATTAAAAATACCTCTCCTTGCTCCCTATTTGCCTTTACATTTGGGTACAGGAAATGGGGAGTTATTTGTCTCTGCCAGGTCTCTCTCTACAAGAGATCACGGCACACAGAAGAAATTTGAAAGACTTTACATAACTTTTTGCTGCTGGAACACAGCAGATAAGAGCATCTCGCATGCTTACAGTTTTGTTGTGGGGGATGGAGAAGATGGGGTTTTTGGCTGGTTTAGTAGAATTGGGGCTAAAAACTGTGTGTAGGTACAGGAGGACTACCACTAACAACAGATATGAAGGCCTTGAGGAAATACATTTTGTTTCTAACACTGAATGACAAAACTACAACCAGCATCGGTCCTCTTTTCGGATTACCCAAAATAGAATTCCCTACCACATACGGAAACTCTACTTGTACTCTGCAGATGTGGACTATTTGCGTCACTCAAATACAAACAGCCATAAACGTAGCGGTTAATTTCCGCTGTAAGTTTGAAACATTTAGGTTGTGTGGCATACAGAGGACTCAGACATACAGATATCCAAAAAATGCTTTTGTTTAAGGCTATGATTTCAAAATGGCTACAATTAACTGGCATTTAAATTTAACCCATTTGACACTGAAAGCCAATATTTGATGCTAAATTCTGGTGTAAAATCCATTATTGCTTGTGGGATCTCCAGACAGCAGGCACTAGGGGGTAACTGTCAATCTCCCCGGCATGTCAATCACGGAACAATTGGAAGTGTGGCTCAGATGAAAATGAGACACAATAGCTGAACAACAAAGAAAACTAGTCAGGAGCACGTAAATGAAATTTAGTAGTGTTGTTGCTTTACAGATATAAAATGGATTAGCACTGCAAATGGAGTAATACACAGGTAACAAAGGTAACATTAGCCTTTTATCTTACTAATCACAGTTTATTATGGCTAACACCATAATCACAAAAAAAGGGAAGACTGCACATTTTGAAGCACATAAAAATGTATACATATAAAGTAAAGCAAAGAAAAAACAACCCCAAAATTTAATCAAAATTGATCTTGAAGATCTGAAAATCAAATCCGTCCCACAAAAGAATAAGAACTAACTAACAACTCTACAGGTTGTAAGGAGATATTAAAAAGCATAAGCAAGGAAAGATTTTGGCCACAAACAAACTATAGGGGTATTAGACCTTGTAAGTCAAAATGAAAGAAACACTGGAAAATGGTTTAAAATAGGAAGATCTTTAAAGAAAACTTCTGCCTTAACATAAATAAGCATGTTCCAGTGTAGTCCTCATTAGTTTTCAATTGTATCAGCATAAACAGGGATATTAATTTTCAAGCATATTCAGTTTTGGTAGTAAGAGTATTTAAAAATAGATTTATGTTCAGAATTTTTACTTTCCAAAGTGATAAATTTAAGCCATCATTTTACTTCACTACAAACATTTTAGGGCCCTAAAAACACTGGCAATATAGATACAGCCTCTACTAATCTAATGCTCCTTCCCTGACATGCTGTAATGATTTCTCTTTTAGAGGATCTTTTCCCCAACAGCTCAAAGTATGCACAACATCAAATTTTATACCTGATGCATAATTCACCTTCAACAGGTAATAAACATAAGAAAAGCAACATTTTTGTCCTTTTGGGGGTGTGAAAAGAGACACACAAACACAAAGCTTAGAACTGTTCTAACTAAAAGCTCCAGATTACCCAATGAGAAATATTTTGTTCTCGTTCACAGGACTTTGAGAAGTTTTCAAAAAAAGAACAAAGCAAATACATTACTTTTCTTCATCAAAGCACTAATATGCGTGTAGTTAAGTAAAAAGTATAATAAAGAGGGCTAATATATGCTGGTTTAATATGCTATGGTTTCAAATACATACTTTCCAAAAAGAAAAGGAATGAAAAAAGCATGCATTAGAAAGGAAAAATTCTGCTATTAGTATGTCTAAATATTTCAACTGCCATGCATAGGAAGTTCCTGTGATTACCCTCCTGGTTTAACCAAAAAATGTGTCAGAAGAAAAATAAAATTGACAAACACTTCATTAACATATTTGCATATTTTCAAATCTTTAACCATAGTTAAGAACTAAGAATATTGAAAGTTTTTTGCATTTTAGTTCCTCTTTATATCATTATCATCTCATATCAATAATTTTGAGATTACCAAGACAAAGCTGCATTTGAGTTACGCAGAAATACAGGTATTTTTCCCACTGGACTTTTAAGGGATGTTTATGGGGGGTTTTTTTGTGGTGTGGGGTTTTTTGTTGGGTTGGGTTTTTTTGGAAGGGGGTTTAGGGTTTTGTGTGGGGTTTTTTGTGGGGTTTTCAGGCATTTTTTGTTTGGTTGTTGTTTTTAAATCAACAGATTTTAGTCGGTTATGAGTAAGACTCAGCCATTCTGGCCTCTCCTTCACTTTTAGGGAGGGTGATGAGGTTTTGTTGGTTTGTTTGCTTTGTGGGTTTTTTTCCCCCTCCAGCTAATCTTCCTGGCTTTCTGGTCTACCTCAGAAAGAGGAAAGATTAGGAGACATAAGGCAAACATTGGAAACAACTTGCTGTATTGGCCATATGTGAATCTCCGTTACATATTTTGTGATAGAATCAGCTTCATATTTTACTTGTCTGGGTGAGGGACTGATAAAAACAAAATGCATTCCCTCAGAATTTACAGTTCACTGGAAGCTCTCCCAGAAGCATACTTAAAAATCAGTATATTGAAATAATTTTCTTTGCACTAATTCTTATTAAATCTATCTATAGACTTAAAAAGAAATATTTATATAAGGTTCTTGAACTATTTTTTTGTCTGAGTACAGTGTTCTTGTACAATTTGTACAAAAACAGAGAGAGAAAAAGGGGTCAAATTATACTTAATGCAACATCCAACCTGCTACTTCTACACAATAAAAATTGCGCAGCCTTTTCACCACAGCAAAACCACTCTTTTGATGGGTTTATAAACTAGTAATATCAACATGTTATGGTAAGAAACAATGTAAAAAAAAAGGAAGTTAAACATTATGATTTGTATTTCTCTTTGGCATTTTTACATGTTTAAGCAAAAGAAAACAGTGAATAAGTAGGAATGCATTACTTCCTCCTTTATAATCAGAAAATAATGCTTTGACCTTGGAATAATACCAGGTGTGGCCAGGCTCCTCAGCTGTGCATGGCCTGTGGGCAGCCGGAGCGTGCTTCCCAAGCCTCAGAGGCACCAGCTGACCAGCAGCGGGCTGTGGTACTGCCCTATCTGCTGGGCATTCCACATCCATGGCGGTGAAAGGCAGGCAGCCGGAAGGGGTAACTGCGGGCAGTGCTGCAAGCCCTCCCCACGACCCATTCACACCCCATGACGCCTCATACCACATCAGAACAGTACCATTAAGTGAGAGCCTGCATGGCCTCGTACACACGAGCTGCTCTTGGAGCTACACTTCTCTAACATGGGTACTGGGCTACACAGACATACAGTAAGTGATTTGAAGGAGAACAAAATTGGCTGCCACAGAACAGACAATTAACGACAAATTTCTTTAGCACCTTACGTTTACCTAAAACTTTTACTATGCAGGAAAGCACATTTTGTCTCCAGAGCTTCAGACAGTACCCTGTTAGACGCTAATTTGTTTTTTTTTTTTTTGCTCGCTTGCATACACCCAGAATACTCGTTTTACCATCCACTCTCCTCTGACCTGCTTCTAAGCTTCTAATTGACCTCAGGGTCAAGAGCTTCATCCCTACTTTGGTTCTCCCAACAGCTGCGAAATAGCAAGAAACAGAGCAAATGGGCAATCACTTGTGACACACATCCTGCAATTGCTCACTCCCCAAAACTTACATCAACATTGGTGCAGTACAGTAAGCTGGAACATGTCAAAACCCTGTAAAACTAGAAATTAAGGAGATATCTAACCTTGCTAACTGGAATAAATCCTTTTTTAAAAAAAATCTGGGCTTTAACACATACATTATTAAATTTAATAAACTTTATTTTAATCTCACACTATTAATTTTTATAAAGTCATACATGAAGACAAAACCAATCCACACAAATGTTTGCTGACCTAATCAAATCTTGCTAAAAAGCTAACTTTGCCAAAGGAGATGTCCTGCTGGCAAAGCCTCTTGAGTTTAATGACACACTGCCAATCCGTTTAGGGCCAAAGCTAAACCATCTCTAAACAGGTGTTGAAATGTAATCACGGATTAAAAGAAAACCTGAGGAAAAAAATGCCAAGAAATTAAACATCTCTGGGTCACTGGTTTGAATCTATTCCAGGCTACTAAATCTGCTACAGTAATTACCATCTGGTCATCTACATAAAAATAAATTATTGGCCTTTTTGTTTTGAATCAGTTTGTGCTACACCAAGGTCTTTATAAACAAAAGTTTCAATTGTAATTGAAAGCTTTGCTGTTAATCTCACTCTAGGTTATACCCAGTGCAGCTACGTATTGAGCTTGAACTGCCTTCTGATTACTAGCGAGCGGTCAGAACCTCTTCCAACAGTTCACTGCTGGGGAAGGGGCGGGGGTAGGTGCTACACCTACGCTATTATACCTACTCCTACCCTATTACAGATACAAGGCAACAGAAAACTTTATTTTCTTACCAAGAATCCCTTTCTGCCCAAAACAAACAAAAAAGCTTTCCGCTTCATTACACTCAGGACAACAGCAGGGTCACAATTTAATAAAATACATTTCCTAGTGCTAACTGGAATTAATGAAGTTGGTGTAAAAATACATTCATTGCTATGCTTCACCACATCGAGGTGGAGGAAAAGGAGTTGACAGGAACACTAACACACACTCCTCACTTGTCTGAAGGAAATACTTTGTGAAGAATAACTAACAACATTCTTAAGAAAGATGACTTTTCTTAAGCTGTATGTCTGCACATAGAAAGAAAAAACTCTGGTCATCTGGTTTGGGAATCAACTTCAATTTACATGTGCTGTTCTGCCACAAAAGAAGAGTATACTTAACACAAGTATCTATTCTGCATTGCGTTCACCAGTTGAACTCAAATTCTTGTACACGGTATTTAAACAGCTTATTTCTTTGTAGGAACAATTCAGTTCCAATAAGCATTTTAATTGAGTTTTGTTTCTTTTTTTTTTTTCTTCTTCTGTCTATTTTTAAAAACTTATAGCTTTCTTCCAGGTCATTCTCATGAACAAGTAAATTATGTATGACCTTAGAAATAATATGCATTCTTTTCCTATCTTTTTCTTGAGCCTACATTATAAGAATTAAACTTGGTAATAGTCAGTGTAATTTACACTCCACTTAATGTTTCTTTCACATCACAGATATTTAATTTATGATACATGTTCCATATTCTTTTCCCTTTGCCTCTTCAAACGAGCTTAAAGATGCTGTTTTCACTCCCAAACTTAACTAAATGCATGGATATAAAAACCTAAGTAAGCTCTCTCAAAATACAACTGTCAACAGTTTAAAAAAATAATCATTTTTTAGTTCTCTCATCTTCCTCTCACCCATTTTTCTTCCAGTTTCTTGACATAAAATGCAGACTACGATAAAATGGCATAGGCCATCACAAGGGCATGCAAACAAAGCATTTTTCTTCAGTAAAGGCCCACCTTAATTATTTTAAGTGCCTCCTTCTGAAATCTGACATTTTGAAGGAGGAGGGGAAGTAGGAGAAAGACATTCAATTGGATAAATGAGAGCCAGGCATGAGCAGAAGCTCAACAACCTGAATCCTGAGACAGAGCTGTTGTAAGTAGAGTATTCACATTAACTAATGGGGGGAGAGATGGATGCTAGGTAAAAGGAACCAGTACAACAAGTGGCAAAGCATTTAAATTCACCTCTTCTTGTGGGTTATGTTTTGCTTGGGTGGGATTTTTGTGTGTGTGTGTGGTTTTGGTGTGGTGGGTTTTTTTTTTTTGTTTTAATAAAGTTTCCTTTGAGGAAGAACTTGTGTACACAGGCAGAGGAAACAGTTCAGCTATTTCACTGATGGGGCTTTGAAAAACTCAACAGCAGAAGCAACATTTAATTAAAAGTATTGCTAACTCTTACCCTTTCTGTCCCAAATGGGGTTCATTTAAACACAGGTATTTTTTAAGAAGTTATTCTAGAGTTGCATTAGTTGCTAAGGAGTCACAGCCAACTTTAAGAGCCAACAAGTTATTTTTAAATGAATGAATAAATAATTTAGATTAACTCAATAAACAAAATCTGCAGCAACCATCTTATGTCAACCACTGTAACACCTTGTTAAATAATATGCATGCTTAACTAGCACATATAATACTGCTCAGTATCCCTAGGAGTCTTATCTTCCAGACAAGCTGCCCCAGTGATTCTACTTACACTAACAGCCTGAAATACTCTGAAGTCTCAAGCCTATGTTAGTGTATTATTGAAGAGAAAAGCACTTATATTCAAAACAGGGTCTCCGTACCAGGGTATACTCATGTAAGTACAGCTACTTTTTTGCTATATATGGGTAACTGCGACTAAGGCAGAACTTGCTAAAACTTAAATACCACTAAAAAAGAACCCAGAGGTGTCTGTCCAGCCAGCTACAACATACAAGGTATCTCTTGCACTATCATTTCAGAAAACATCTCCATCCTGAGGTCACTGGTGCTCTTACGCTCTTCAGAATAAGTAATGCTTCTTTAAGTATTGTTAACTGATAAGCTACAGTAATTCCTTTAAGGTACCTGAAGTCCTGAATATTCTTAATATTGAAGATTACTTATATTTTACTGCATTTTAAGATCACCTGTTGGTTACGTAAGTTAACAACAAAACAAACCCTGTAGTTAAGCAGTAGTTTACATATGGGGCTATTTACTCTAGAACCATTTCTTCACTTCCTCCTTGCTCCAAAGCCTTCCAGCTCTGAATTCTTCTATGTCCTGCTTCCCTGCTACCAAATTCCTGCTTGCTGGTCTCCCACTCCCATGAGTTACTGGATAGCTTTTTCCCCCCCCTACCATTAAATTAATGTATTTAAAATTCACAGTGAGAGGCCAGGTGTCTACAAAGCACAGGACATCACTTCTGTTGTAGTCCTCTCTTCTGCCTATTCTGGCAGAGATAGGAGCTACTTTTCAGAACAGAAAATCTGAAACCTGTTATACTGACTTCTTAACAGACTACCTTAAAATCATAAAAATGAGAAAATGACAGCTTAGAAAGATTATAGGTCCTAATTTAAAATTCTTCCTAAATATTACTATATCCTATATTTTGCAGTTAGGCCAAAAGGGAAAGTACTAAAACGATGAAGAAAGTTCCAAAAATGCAGCAACAGCAATTACTGAATTTAATTCTTTTCCATCTGACTCACCTCAGTGAGGGATGAACATCAAAGCTTAATTTGGACACAACAGTTGATTAAAGCAAAAATGATGATGCTTAATTAAAAAACTTGCAAAAAGAAAGACATCTTTAATAAAATAGCCACACAGTTCTGTTGAAGCTTTTAACAGATGAAGAGATACTAACTCTTGCATCACATAGTGGGAAAGGTTAAGGGCTACAAAAATGGATGCTGAAAGACCAGACTTTGTTGCATGTATAACTTTCACACGCCTGTTGCTAACAGTTGGAATTATGAACTATATGCTTTTTCCAGCTCAAACACAGACAGAAATTGAACATTGACACCGTTCATATGATTTATACCTCAGAATTAATACTCAACATTTCTGTAAACCAAAGAAAAATCCTCCTTGCATTCCCTGTTACATATACATTAGTGACTAGGGTATTAAAAACAAAAATGGGTGTATTCAAGGCAAATGAAAAGAAAGAGCATGTGATATTAAAAAAATTATTCTTATAACTGATCTGACAATACTTCAACTGGATAAATATCAGTTAAATTTTACAGTTTATAGTATTAGATTAAAAAAGCACAGCTGTGGGCATCTGCCACATTTATGTTTACAAATTACAACCATACCTTCATTACATTCATACTTCATTTACCTGAGTAATTTCAGGTACTCATTTATATGACTTAAAAAAAAAAGCTCACTCAGTCAGTAAATGGAATTCCACTGTTTCCCCAATTTTAAATGACATAATATTTGCTATGAAAACATAGCATTTGCCTATTTGAGATAAATACTTCTGTTAACAGATACCTTAAAAGACATTGCTATGCCTAACTAGATGTATATGTATCATCCCTCTCCCATCATTTATTCTTGAAGTTTTGCCTAGCAGGAACTGCTGCTGAAATCTCTAGCACATTAAAATTAACATCCATTAAAAATATATTCATATTTTGATGAACTTAATGACACTAAATTTGCCTCCAGGGAGTAATTTTTATTTTTATATATATGTATGTAAGACATACATATATATGTGTACACATATGGTATGTGCTTGAGCCAGAAAATTCATAAGAACAAGTGCTACACATATGATTATGCATAACAACACCATCAAGAAAAATAATGTAACTTAAAATCATTACTATTACCTGGAATAGCTGAGGTAAAGCTTTCACAGTGAGACAGAACCATATTCCCAGCTTGCATGGAAGTAAGTCATGCCACTGTGGTTTGTCCAGTACTCTGCAGTCAAATGAAATTGTAAGCTTTTCACTACTGACACACGATCTCAAGTCAGAACATTTCCATTATCCTTTAATATGATTAGCACTTTTCAACTCCTACAAAAATGTGTAACTACATAATATTAAAAGATACACTTTCAATGTTTACTTCAAAAGACAGCTAACTTCTAATCATCACTGTGTTTTAATCTCTTTAAAAGGGCTTTTCTTCGAGAAAACAAATTCATAAGCCAAATAATTGCTTCACTTCAAAAAAATCTGAAACTGAAAAAAACCCCTCAAGCCTCAAACAAGTGTTCACAAGTGCTGACAACCAGATATGAAGACTGTAGCATAAACAAAACAATACATAAAAATTAATGTCATTTGCAGTTCACTGGAGCATTACTCACTGATGTCATCAGGGAAGACGACAGGCAGAATGGTCTCTGATCTCCATCCTGCATTGATCCAGTTCATGCCCCTGCTGTGTGAACTATTTAAACCCTTTATTTCTTTCTATGAATCAATAGAAGAAATGGTGGTATCTTCTGGAGCATCCTGAAAGTCACTATTGCCCTACGTGTTTCTTAACAAACAATGGTGGTAGAAGCCTTTACCAACATGCTTGGTTTAAAGTTAATCAGATAAAAAGCATTATTTCAGACAAGCACTAAAACCCCACAGAAACTCTTTGCTTGGTATGGTAATAAACTAAAGCTTAAATAAATTGAAATTTGTTAACTATAATCAAAAGCAAAAAATCTTCAAAGAAGGAAAAAGTTGTGATTTCTACAAGTTGAATTTAGATTTAATACCATTCTATAAACCAGATACCATTAATTCAGACTTAATCTTTCAATTATTGTTTATCTGCTGAATAAACACCACACGTTTATTAACAAATCAAAACCGGAGAACACGTCTACCCTGGCACACTTTGTATCACCTATGCCTGTTACTACAAATACAGTTATTTTTTTCTCACAAAATATTTCAACTATGCAAGGAGAAAATGACAGAACTAAACAAGTAGCTGACAAAACGTTTTAAAAAGCAGAAAACAAGAGTTCTTTCCCACCTTTCGTTTTTGTCTACAGCAGCAAGTTTGGCTTCATCTGTACTCCTGCCGCCTGTTTTTTTCTTCTTCTCCCTCTTTTTTCTGCTAAGCAGTTCATCCTTGATGTAGAAAGAACTACGGTTACAGGTTATCATTAACATGTAAACCACAAATGTTACTGGGACTCTTCTGTGAAGGGTAAACAGTAGAGTAGCATTTATGCAAATGTATCTAGGGGTCCTACATGATTAAGTAAAATGATCTATCTTAACAATAACTGTTGCCATGGTATCCAGTCTTTAAACACACATGAAGTCCAGTTCTGTCACTCATGTGTATCTCCATAGCAATCAAAGTTTTCTAAGAGGAGAAAGCATTCAACTTGCCTCCTTTCTCATTCATCAACTTCAATAATGCAGTGGAAAATAAAAAAAAAGTAAACAGATGCTAATGTATGAATATTTTTCAAGTTATGCTTAGTTTTTTCATAGTCTACTAACTGCAATATTTTTATATAACAAAAAAATAAAATAATCAAAAAATAATGTGATTTATAGTGCTTACTAATGCCTATCCTGTTAACAAAAAAACAAAACAAGAAAGCAGTTAGCTAAGAACAAAGGCAAAGCAAGTATGACTTACAAATGAATAAAAACTGATTATTTTTAAACATTTAAGAAAATCAGACAACTACAGTAGCATATGATTCTGCATCAATAGATGACAGATATTTATTCCTCTTCTTCCAGTTAAACAACAAAGAATAATATCTTGCTATTTATTATCAATTCTAGAAAAATTAAGTAGTTTTTAGATTACGATTTCTGGTATGTTGAGTATCTCATCCTATAATTACCACCATTTAAAATATAATCCTTTTAAAATAGGAAAAATCCAAAGTCAGAACAGGATAAGAGGTAGAGATCCCTATAATATGCAAACTTCTGTAGGAAATTCAGTACTAATAATTGAAGCTAGTTTGACTTATTACCAATACTTACCAGCTGTTTTTCCAGGTAGATTGACCAAACCACAGCATAATGACCCACTGTGAGTATAATGAACAAGAGTAATGCCAGCTCAGCATTGCTCATTTTTCTCACCCGCCTGTAGTAGAATACAGGCTGTCGCCAATCTGGTAGTCCATTGATCAGAATATCATCATACCTACAGTAGCAAATATAACAGGCTTTCATGGAGAGCTAAAAATGAAATAAGCCAAACCATCCAATTATAAAACAAAACAAATGATAATCCACAGACCGCTTGACTAATCCACACACAGAAGATCACTCTGTAATCTATTTTTTTTTTTTTTTAATAGAGCAATGCCTTATTTTGTCAGCTGCAAGGCTTGCATCTGGAAACAAACAGAACCCAGAACCAAATGCTGGGGAAATGGATCTCGTCTATTGCAAAAGAAAGCCAAAAATAAATAGTAATTTGATTGTTCCTGCACCACCCTTCCCCAGTTCGTTCACTTCCAAAATAAACCGACTCCTAGAAACGTTGGTGTGTCCTACCTGCCTAGTAGTGAGCGGGCAGGTCTGGTGACGGGAGTAAATAACAGACCACAAACCACTGCACAGGTGGCAAGGAACAAGAGTCTCAAACACGAGAAAGCGTTTTTCCTTTTGCAAATTAAAAGCAGAAGTGCTGGGGGGAGGGGAGAGGTATCTCCGCTTTTGTTTCGTCCCTCAGCAGCACAATATCCGCTAGGTACAAATGCTGCCAGGCCTAACATCCAATCTGTGTCAGATAGGAATTTAAAGGTTTGATTTTGGTGATGGAAAGCAAACTTCACCACAGCTAGACGATTTTGGTTTTCTACATGAAAAGCTGTCTCCAAAAATCAATCTATTTTAAAAGTATTTAATTTCACTAATACTACTGACTGTACAGAAACCGTTTTATGACAGTTTGTCAGTTTTTCTTCACACAAATGTCTTGAAATAAAACTTATGATGTCTGGGGATCTTTTATTTACAGTCTGTTACCATCAATTTAAAAATAAACAAACCACAGACATGCAAAACAGATATTTCTATTTGTTAAATCCTCAGAGTAAAGTTTCAAACCAAAAATCTCTACAGTAAAATCAAAAACCTGTATGCTCAAGATGTTAACACAACCTGTTAATCTTAAATTGAACGCGACTCATTACATATTCTAATCACACCGTTTCCAGAATTAAATCTGCACTGAAAGGCCTAATTTGGTGCAACACATTGACCAAAATATTTTAATTAAAAATATTCTGAGTTAGTCGCAGGCCTAATTACAGGAATAGAAATAGGGCCTATATTGTCATGCAGGTCAGTAGAACTCAGTAGTAGGTTTTTCTCAAGTAAATTGACCGATCCAGGAATAATAGCGCAGCTGCTAAACTGCCAGTCTTGACATGTAAATCAATTTAAATGCAACAACTGCACTAGCTACTTTGATAGTTATTAAATTGATACCTTGGAGATGTACTAAAAAGAAATTTCCACAAGCAAATTTTTTTTTTTTAAGCAGAAAAAGAGGCAATGGTTGTCAATTTAAAAATATACCTTAATTCAGCACATGAAGAAAAGCTGACTTCCGATAAAACATTTGTCCAAGTGGGCACGGTTATTTCTACGCAAAAGATTTAACACCTCAGGATTCTGCAGTGTTCTGAATGCTCCCAGAACCAAAATTCATATTACAAAATTCTATCTTCCACGACAATTATGAGAATACTAAGATAAACATCCATTATTGTAAAATTTGAAATAAAAACCTTTTTCCTTTCCCAGTAAGTCAGAACGAATTAACTACCAATGCCTTACACAACCTCAGTTCAGAAAAATTGCTTACTATGTTATTTCAAAGCTAGAACTTCTACTTAACTTTTTGTTTAAGAAGTCTTAGCATTTACACAGAACAGCATTTAAACAGAAGTCTTCACATTTAAAAAATTAATGCTGCATTTACTAAACATTTTAGTGTTAGAATACAAGAAAATGTTGTAGAAACAAACCATTTTTAAAATAAATTAGGTTGATAAGATTTCACAGAAGACGTTCATCCTTTGAAAGCTTCAGAGAAATAGATGTAGAATCAAGGAAGAATTTTTTTATAGAACTATAAAATTATTAAGCATTTGGCTTGCTTATACACTAAGGCTTTTTAATCGATCTATTGAAAATGTGGCTACTGATTAAATAAGGTTCACACATGCTACTGGTAGCAATATAGTAATATTTAAAACAAGATTGCAAACTAACATTTGGCAAGCACATTCTATTATAAATTATCTGTTAAGAAAAAATAAATTAAGACAGCAGAGTCTCTTGCATTAAACACTTTAAACAGCACTCTGTATTTACTAGGCTATGTCCACTGTTCTGAACAACAGTCTCCAAGGATTAAGTCTCAGAATCAATGCTCTATTGATTTTACTATCAATGAGCATTATGGCTCACACGACTGGCCATTTTAAGGGAAGATAGCTTCTATTATAACCCACTTTTTAGAATATATACTGTTAAAAGATAAATCACTGCTTTCAATAGTAATTAAGCTCTGTATTTGAAAAATAAAGATATCAATGATTTTTAGGTTTTCAACTGGAAAATGATCCTACTGAAATTCAGAAACTCCTAATTTTTAAATCTTGATTTCCAAATTCAGGATGTGGTTTCATTTAAAGCAAGTTTCTCATTAAAGAATTTCTTAACTACTAAAGACATACATCAAGAACTACATTCAAAATTTAATTACAAAACATTCTTCTTTTGACAATCTATGCTAATTGTTACTCTATGTAAGGAAAAAAAAAAATCAAGCTGAAAAGGAAAACTACATCTGTAGTACTTTTTCCTCAGACACACGTACACAGAATACAGCAAATCTTTGCCATATGAGTATCCTTGACAGTTGTTTCTGAAATGTAGCAAGCTAAAAAACCCTAAAGCACCCAGACGGGG